GCATTTCAAAATACAAAACTACACTTGAATAATATGTTAGCCAGCGTTCACCATCACTGGAGGAATTTGTAATTCTAAAGTGTAAATGTTTTGAGAGAAAAGAGTAAAAGAGAGCAAAGAAAACTAATTTACAGAAATATTTGATAGCTTGTTCAAGCACTTAAAGTTTGTGGCTATCTCCTTTAGACTGTGTACATGCAATATGTCACCTTCCGCTTAAATCTCACTTTCCCGGTAACTTTTTGTTGAGAGCTTTATTCCAGTGATTGATCATAATGCGTCTGCTCTTAAATGAACAATGCAAATCTATAATCATATATCTTTTTTTTTAGCTTTTCTATGTTGAAGAAACTTGATTCCGTAAATGTCAAGTCAGTTAAAAATAATTGATTGCTGCAACTTAAAAGAACAACTTATGTTCATCCTCTTTTGAATATGAGTTAGTAAAATTTTTAGAGTTTTTTCTTGAAAAAACAACAACAACAAATTGACTCAAGCATTGAAAATTTTATTTATTGACTTATAGACCGGAAAGGTGAGCAAGATGAGTTCCCTAATTTTAAGATTGAGCTCTATATTTAGCTTGTGCTGATGATAACAATCTGCTCAGTGGAAAAATCTTTTTCTAAAATAGAATTGATCAAAAATAAATTGCGTAGGACAATGCTTTAAGAACAGCTCACTAACTTCAGCTCACAAACAGTAAATGCTTTAAGAACAATTCACTAACTTCTAAATTAAATATTTAATGCCTTTGATAATGACTGTTTTACATTAGTTTTCATTAATCTGCCAAAAGTTTTTGATATATCAAAATATAATAATAAAAACACTTACAAAAGTGTACACTTAAAAAACACTTGCGGAGTGAAAAATAAAAATCTACTTTGGTTAAAAGAATACTTGAAAAATCGAAAGCAACTTTTATACTATGATCAAAATAATATAATATCCATTCCTTATAGTTTGCAGGATTCCTCAAAGCTATACTATAGGACCACTTTAATTTCTAGCTTACACAAAACCACTTATACTTAGCAACAAATCTTTTAGACCTTATATTGTTTACTGATATTCCAATATTTTTTTTCTAACAGAAATATTAAAACGCTTTTTAAAATCTTTAATGAATAGTTATGTAAAGTTAACAAGTGGTTTGTAAGTAAAAAACTTTCACTAAATTTGGATAAAACAAAATATATACTTTTTCATAGAGTAAATCAGAAAACTTTCATCTTAAATTATCAAATTTAATATTAATTATTAAATTTGATAATTTAATACTTATATTAAAAGGGAAAGATACGTAAACTTTATAATTGAGTAAAATGATTATTCCAATATTTTTTTTCTAACAGAAATATTAAAACGCTTTTTAAAATCTTTAATGAATAGTTATGTAAAGTTAACAAGTGGTTTGTAAGTAAAAAACTTTCACTAAATTTGGATAAAACAAAATATATACTTTTTCATAGAGTAAATCAGAAAACTTTCATCTTAAATTATCAAATTTAATATTAATTATTAAATTTGATAATTTAATACTTATATTAAAAGGGAAAGATACGTAAACTTTATAATTGAGTAAAATTAGGTTTAAATTTACAATGGTATTCACATATAAATAGCTTTAAACTTAAAAAAAAAATCACAATGACGTTTAAGGATAAACCGTTTCTAAACAAAACATCCCTAAACAAAATTATACTTCATCTTTATTCATAGATATTTGTCTTACTGCAATATTGTGTGGGCTAGTACAAGCGATACACAAATCTACAAAAAGAAATCTACAAAATCTACAAAAAAATCTAACAAAATCTACAAAAAAAAAATGCCTGTAGCATAGTGTTTGGAGTTTATAATCAAATAAAAACAGATATATTTATACCAATGAAAGTAAAGTGATCGTGTTATAAGTTCATCTAGTGATTAAGTTAATTATAAAATTTTATTTAATTTTTTGATTTTCTTTTTAATTCAAAAATTTTTGTTTATATTTTTCTTAAACATTTTAAAACTGCTTAATTATTTAACATTTTGAATTTCTTTATTCTTTTAGTTATATTTTATTATTTTGAATTTCCTTAATCTTTTAGTTATTTTTTATTTCATTTCTAATTTATATTTCCTTACTTAACTTACTGGATATAGATAACAATTCAGATAAATGGTTCAATAATGAAATGCCTTAATAATTAACACAATAATGAACACTGCAAAAGAGACGAATTTTGATTACACATTTGGCAAGAGAAGCGTGGAAAACTTTAAAGTCTTCTAAGTATAATAACCAAAGAAGAAAATGCTGGACGATGACTGGGTGTTTAATCACTTCTGATGGCTCGGATGATGCACTTATCAAACCGGAGGGCCTTGATAACTACAATGTGCCCCCGCCATCCATAATTGATCTTGCCTGTAATCAACCCGAAGAAAATCAATGTGATTTTCAACCGGTTGAAGTGGATGATCCTATAAATGAAGATGTCAATGAAATTCGTCCAAGTGACACATTTATTGTCCAGGGGAGAACGAAAACGAAGTTCATATCTTTGATTTTATTCATAATATTTGTATGTAGTTTTTTAATGTTTATAAGTGTTATTTTCGATTGTAATATTATAAAATCGTTTTTGAAAATGTGCGCGTTATTAAATTTTCAAAAAGTATTGAAACAAGCATAACTTATTATAAATATGCCTTAACATATTTTTGAACATCTTAAGGCGAGTTTCCACTCATCTGTTTTTTTACGGGAACGGGAAAGGGACGGGAAAAATAATCACGTGGGCATGCGTAGTATAATTTTTAATATGTCTAAAGGAAAACTACGCATGCTCACGTGATTATTTTTCCCTTCCTTATCCCATTCCCGTGAAAAAACGGATGAGTGGAAACTCACCTTTAGAGCTTTTTGCATAAGCATACCCGAGCCTGTTTCAAAAATTTTATTCGCATATAAAAAAAACAACAACATGTATTCCTAGAGAAAATGTAAAGCTCTTGCTGAAGACTTGTTGTTTCAATAATTAGAAGCTTAATTTAAACCAATATGCATACTATTTTAATTTTCTTTAAGAAAAATATTTTTTTTTATCATATTTTACCTGTATAAATATATATATATATATATATATATATATATATATATATATATATATATATATATATATATATATATATATATATATATATATATATATATATATATATATATATATATATATATATTCATCATGTTGTTGTTTTTTTTTGCGTGATAATATTGCAATAGTTTGAAAAACACACAATAATTTTCAAAACGCTTTACTCTAGCCAGAAAAAATTTATGACTGGCATTTCTTATCGAAAATATATTAAATATGAGTCGCAGAAATATAACATTTTACTTGAAATACTCACAAGCAATTTGTTTTCATAAAATAACTACGCAAAATTGACTAACTCGCAACTTCCTCGCGTGATCATTCATGAACTGCATTTAAACGATTGCTGTGACTCTATGATACATAGCGAAATCCTGTAACTTTCTTTGCTAATGTTAAAAAAAACTTATATTTTTTGAGGAATTAAAGTTTAATAAACTCAAAAAATATAAGTTTTAAAAAAAAAACTTATATTTTTTGAGAAATTAAAGTTTATTTATCTAGTAGCTAAAATTAACGTTTTTCCGTTATGTGTGTGATTCCCCTTCAAACTTAGTTTATTATTTGATAAAGTTACTAATGTATTCTATTTTTTGTTAGAAAAATATTTATATAGGTTAATGTTAAATGAGAGAAAATTGGAGATCGTCAGTTATATTTTTATGAAAATAATAGACAAAACATATACTAGTTTCCGTGCGTGATTTTTTGGAAATGCTCTAGTTTAGAAATTCCTTAGTCTTAAAAAGCAAAAGGCTTCATACTAAGTTTTAGCGTAGGCTCCTACAAAGGTAAATCTGGCCTTGGCCAAAATGCTTAGTAAAGAGTTGCGATTGTTAAAGCCTGAAAAACAAAATTTTTCTTCGTAATTTGCAGTCTTTTTACCTTAAATTTAAGCTCCATGATTAAACCCTAAAATAAATTTGTTTTCATCAACAGATTTTAGGAGTAAAGTGCCAACACTTTGGAACGTTTTTGCTTTCCTTGGCGCAGTTTTTTGGAAAGAATTCTCATTTGTTACATAAAGAAACATTCACAAGTTTTAAGTTTGCTTTCTAATTAAAAATTAAAAACAGCAAATGGGCTTAGCGCTGCCATTCTTGCAATAAGCATTTGTATTAAGAGGTCATATAAATTTCCAGCATTTAGACAACACCAATATAATAGGGATGTCGGCTTTGTATATTGTTAAAACAATCACATTTTTTATAAAACGGTATTTATTTTAATTTAAAATATCTTTCGCTTAAGTATTTATTTAAAAGTTTTTTGATTTTGCAATAAAGTTATAACTTTTACTTATTATTTAAATTATTTTATCAACTTTTAAAACACTTTTTGTAATGTTTCGGATAAAACACTTAAAATTTTTTGAGGTTTTAAATAACTTTGTAGGTAACTTTGAACCTAAGTGTTGTTAAAAAAAAAAAGTTTATTCAACTCAAATCAGTGAAAATTGATTTTACAGCATGTGATTTCTTTAATATAACTTATAATCGTTTTTTTTTTTTTGACAATGCAGCCCCACATATACTTTTAAACCTCTTTTATTGAATAGAGATAAAAGAGATGATACCCATATTTTTATAAAATACAAAGCCTTTTATCACTTATTATGTATACAATAAAGACACGAAAGATTATTATTATGAATTGAATAATTATTATACAATATGAAAGATTGACTTGTTTTAAAGCTTTAGAAAAAATTACATTGCAAGTAGTAGTAAGTAGCAAGTACTAGCTACCATTTTACATGTTCGTATGTCCAATTTAATAAGAAACCGCTAACATCCAATCCAATACAAACCTATGTTAGGTGTTTTATTTCATATAAAATAATCTTTGAAATGAAGTTGTGAATGTATTTCTTTTATTCCATACAGAAGTATGAACTCAAATAAATTATATACAAGAATTGCGATAATATATATACAATTTAAACAGTAAATATCTAAGATAAAAAAATAACTTTTGCTAATTACTATAAAAAAATGTCAAACCACTCTAAAAAAAAAAAGATATGCGGGGTGATTCCACGAAGACGTTCTGTCAACAGAACATTCGCGAACATAGGAGAAACATTCCCACCAATAGGAGCTTCGTAAAAGGAAGTCTATTTATAAATTTTCTTCTCAGAAGAAATAAAGCTGATTATGTGGAGAAACTTTAAACGGAAATCTAAAACAACAGTAAATATATATATATATATATATATATATATATATATATATATATATATATATATATATATATATATATATATATATATATATATATATATATATGTATAGTTTGAGGAATTGTCGTAACTTTGATACACTTTTGTCTAAATTGTAATTGATTTTTTTTGTAATTGTAAGTGACTTTTGTCGTATAAACAAATGATGAAATAAAAAAACTTTTTATTTACCTCAGAGGATCGGAGCCTAGATGCTATAGGTTCTTTACAAAGTGTCAGATTTAAAGATGAATTAAACTTTTTCTTTTTCATAAATTCTAAAAAAATATGATTATCTATATATATGTGTATGTATGTATGTATGTATGTATGTATGTATGTATGTATGTATGTATGTATGTATGTATGTATGTATGTATGTATGTATGTATCTCTCTCTCTCTCTCTCTCTCTCTCTCTCTCTCTCTCTATATATATATATATATATATATATATATATATATATATATATATATATATATATATATATATATATATATATATATATATATGTATATATATATATTTGGACAGGTATTATAATATACAGAGGAAATTTATTTATCTTTTTATTTTTCGTTTTTCTCTGCCCGTCTGGAAAACAGTCTAGATTAATGTTAATGGTACTTGATGATAAGACTTATCTTCAACAAATTTTCTTGTTTTCTTGAAACAGTTTTAATGTATGTTGCAAAAATATTATTCTTTATGACTTATTTGTTATGTCCCGGAAACGCATTATAATTAATTAAATTGTTATGAAGTTGTAAAAATAAATTTAATAAATAAAGAATTTTCAAAATTATTGAATGCAGAGAATATTTATAACATGCCGATCTAAATTCACCATCGGCATTATATCAATCTAAAAATTTAATATTGCATTTCAAAAACAAAATATTTCCTTACTTTGCGCCAAGCTATTTCATAAATTGGATAGATCAACAATTTATGCGTATATATTAGAATAAACTTTTAGTTAAATATTTCAGATATTAGGAAAAGCATAAAATAATCAGTTCACCTCTGTAAGGATTTGCGTAGATTAAATTTATTCTCCGTAAGTTTTTAAAGCAATCGCTTAAAAGAATTAAAAAAAACTTGCTGTTAACCTGTAAAACTTAATGCCGCAAAAAAAGTTACGTAAAAGAAATATAAGTTTTTAAAGGTATTAGATTTTCTGAAAAATAAAAATATTTGAATATTAAATGAATTGTGTACAATTCATCATGTTATAAAAAATTAAATCAAATATAAAAAAATTCACGAGTAATAAAATGAGCAATTCTTACCATCGATTGTTTTTTGATGTTTTTTTTTCTTTCCACATAATTTTGTGTTATCATTGTATTTACACGAACGTATCTGAGTTCCCATAACGGTTTTTATTATTTGACAATCCTCAATAGCTAAAGGCTCAACGTTTATACTATTCGCACTTTCCAAGCTTGCTGAGGACAATGTGTTTTGCGTTAATGCACCAATTAAACTTTTTCCTGGTGTGTAAGTATTTTCAGAAAAATCTATATCAGAAGGAACCCATTGCAAACCGTCTTTATTGTCACCAGGTTTTTGTTCCTTAAAATTGAAGTTCCAGTGTTCGGATTTTTGTTCGAGCAGTTTTTCATATTGAAGTTGCAATTCCTTCTTTGTTTGTTCGTGATCAACTTCTCCAAACAAACTTCTACACGTCGCTTTACTTGGAGCAATATCTTGACGTGAAAATAAGTAAACTCGAGAACTTTCCATTTTTTTTCTAATTTTCTTTATAACTATTTTTTCGATAAAGAGAATAGCAATATAAATAAAAATGTTCGATTAATAAAAGTTTTCTCTTAAAAACCGCTGAATAATGAAAAATAAACGTAAAAATTTCGCCAGACGTCGTAGTTTGTTATTAAATCATTCAACTTTTAAAAGCTTTTGATTCGTCAATATAAACTCAAAACACTACGCGATTGGCTTAATTAATAATTGTTATAACAGTTTAACAAAAGACTATACGCGGTTCGCTTTCATATTACTTTAAACTGCTTTATAAGCGTTAAAAATGCAAACTAGAGAACAGATTGTCAAAAAAAAAAAAAAAATTAAAATTTTTAAGAGAAAGAAATTATCAGCTGTTTAAATAGATCAATTGTTTCAAAACATATTGTTTCACTTCCTGTAACAATAACAAAACCCTAATAAAGAGTTAGTCACTTCATCTTATTTTTTTTAAATTCAAAACATTTGGTTTTATGTTGAGCATATGCTCAATATAGATATGCTCATTTTTACCAGAAGAACTTCTGTTTATCTCTTTCAGTTTTTTGAAGCAAAACGTATTACCTGCAAAATTTGATCGCAAAATTTCAGCAAGTTAAAGTTTTTTTAAAAAGTTATAACTGTTTTATCATGATGAACTAAGCAAAACAAACAAATAATTTAAATACGAAAAAATAAAGCATTTATACTTTTCGTATTTAAATTTGACTTTTAAGGAAACGCGTATTTTAAGGAAACGCGTAACTTATTACAGTTTCGTTTTTGTTTTTTTTTCTTCAAGTAATTAATCGTTAACGAGCATGTTTAATTCGCGCGAGATGGCAATTATATATAATATTTTTCAAAATATATATTTATATAATTATATATTATATTTTTTTTTTACTTTTAAAATTTTAAATTTAAAGTTGAAAAATTTTACTATTAAATAGTCCAAAAATAATAATAATCATTAGAATAATAATAAAAAAAAAAAAACACAAACAAAACAATAAGTTTTTTTTATTATTATTGTTATTATTATTATACGCTTGGTTTGTTTGGGGCGTTTATAAAGGAATGTTTTTAATCAACATACAATAACAACTGCGATAACAAGTTTGATGAGTAATCTAGACACGTTTTTTTTTTTGTTTTTTTTTGGGAGTTTTTTTTTATTAATTTCATTAATAGATTATTTATCACTTTTTAAAAGTTTTATAAAAGACATTTGCGAAGTTGTTTTTCTGTAAAGTGCGAAATATTAAACAAAAAATATATATTTATTTTGCCTTTTTATTTTCCTTAACGAGAAAGGCGTGAGATCAGCAAGTTACAAAGATTACGATCTTTCTCGAAGAACATTGAAATATAAACAAGTAAAACTAGTTAGATAATATAATAGAGTGAAAATAATAATAGAGTAAAAATTTATTGAAAAAATAAAACTTAGTATTAAAAAAAAAAAAAAAAAATTGCAATTGTTTAATATTCATAAAACCAAAATTACATTGAGGCTCGTCGGTTATTGATAAATAAAACCTAACTTTGTACAATTTCACATTAGATTACTTAAAACATGATCAAGCGTAACGTTAGCTTAGCACGAAATGAGATCAACGAGTATTATCTAGGCCGTTAAGAAATTTTTTTTTCAAAATTATCAGTTTAGGTTTCTTATTTTGCATCTGAAAAATTTTAATTTAAAAGCTTGTTAATTTGTTATTTTTAAAATATATTGCTTAAAAAAAAACCGCTACAAATTAATTTTCAGAAAAATACAAAAACAAAGACTCATAAAAAAAAAAGTGATTTTTATACTAGATTCTATAAGTGTACCATTGTTTTTTAATTAATATATAACTTATGGGGTTTATCACGTGCAAACTTTATCATAGGAACATAATTATTTTTGTTTAATCACTAAAATAAAATTTTCCCTAGAATCAACTTAAAACTCGAGCAGACGAGGCGCAGTGTTAGCGCACTTACCTCAAAAAAAGGATCCATGGTTCAAACCCCACCTCTAGGCAAGTTTTGCAACATCGGTTAGGAAGTAGGCATGAATTTCTAATTAAATGCTCACCTAAATAAAATTAGGGAAAAAAAAAAAGTTTTTTGCCGCTGGGTCAAACTGTTGTTTAGGCCCAGTAGCGGATTATGATTTTTCTAAGATAAAAAGGTCCTCAAAACTAAAAATCTGCCGACTGAAATCTGTCAAAAGTCGACAAGCCAACACTATTCCTTAAAAAACCGGCTATAAGTTGAAAATAGCCTTCTTCTCTAAACCCCACAAACCCCCAATAAAATCGCACCTGAAAAATAAAAGCGTCCCTGATTTCTACAACTTTATTTTAAATTGAGTGAAAAACAATATATCAAACAAAAATTGAGTGAAAAACATTATATCAAACAAAAATTGAGTGAAAATAATATATCAAACAAACAATATAAAAAGAGTATCTAGTGTCAAAAATAACTTTTTTTCTTGTTTAAACGACCTACGCGGTAAAGATCTCGAGAATTAAATAAATAGAAATTGAAAATTATTGAAAAGGTAAATGTTTTATATTTAGTATATTTAAGCATAAAGTTATATTTAACTTTTCATTGCTTTTTAAATTTAAAATTTAAAATACACTTATAGTAATAGGGGTTTGGGATTTTTTTAATGTATCAGATATGACACTTCCAGGAGTTGTGAAACTTCAAATTTAACTATGTTTATGATTATGTCAAAAAAGAGTTTTTTGCAAAAAAAAAGTGGTATCAAGAGTTCTGAGAACAAAACTTAAAAAAATGTTTTAAGTTTTGTTCTCAGAACTCCTGAATGCGAGATCTAATACTATTTTTAAATTTTTTGAGGTTAGAATTAATTTGTTTTAATTCCATGTTTTTCCGAACTGAGAAAATCAAATTAAAAGTTTTAAATAGACCTGGAGACCACTTCAAATAAAAAAATGCAAACGATACGAATTCTAATTAATTTTCCTAACTTCCTACAATAGTATCAAAATAATAATTTAAAAATATAATGCACAGGCGTCTGAATTACAACACCTTGATTTGGAGATTTAGAACAAAATAGTCCTAAGCTCGCGGGTTTTTTTAAATAAATTTCAAGTTTCATATAACTACCTGTTAGTGTTGGTCAAAAGTTATGAACATGTATTATTTGCACTCCCCCTCAAAATTAGGGGGTTGTAAATTTTCCATGTCTATGACAAACCCTTGTAGATTTTTATGTGCTAATACGGTATAATAATATGATGCAATTATTTTTTAATAATGATATGTTGAATTATATCATTTGTATACAATGTCTTGTTGGTAACTAATAAAGAACAAAACCCCGAAAAACTGCAATTGTTAGTATAAAAATAAACAATTATTTGAAAACATCAATCAAGTCATACATTTTCAAGACAGGCCTGATAAAGAAACTCTCTTCTTTTATACAATATCACAAAGTTATTATACTCAGACCTATTCCGACAAGTTATTATATTTCAATATTATTATAATAGACCAAGCAATTATATTCCGAACCATATTAACATTAAAAAATCTACAAGGATTACTCAACCAAAATTTATACTAATATTATTACTAATACAAATAAACTATTGCATAAATTAAATATAAAAAATTTGTATGATGTTTACAATTGTCATAAAACAAACAAAGCATTAAGTATATTCTAAACCAAACTTTTGATGTGTAACGTATTGATATTCAAAAAAACTTGCCCATATGAAGCAATAAAAATTAAAACAAAAACACTGAGTAATTCTTGCATTTATAAAACACTCATTAAATGTTTTAAAAGCAAACAAAAAAATTAACAGTGAACTTTTTAAAGACAAAAGTGCAGAACTTAAAAAAAATATACAAAAGCTATGAATATTTTTTATCAAAATCTTCTCAAAAAGGAGAAAAAGTTATATTAAACTAAACAAATTAAAGTCATATTTGATATTTAAAAAAAATATGGTCAGTAGTTAGTAACATAGTTAAAAAAAAAAATTGGTCAGTAATTAAAACATAATAAAAAAAAATATGGTCAGCAATTAATAACATTCTTTATTTTACATAAAAGTAGAATAAATTATTACATTAAAGCAACAATTCCCGACCTGCGGGTCGTGACTCCAACAAGGGTTGCCTAAGGGTCCCGTCTAGACCATCTGAAAATAGTTTATTTACGCTAGTCTGTAGTTTTTTTTCATAAGTTTAAATTTAAGCGACACTCATAATAAAAAGTTATAAATAAAAAACTGAGTAGACCTTTTTAAACGTCAAGAAAAAAAGTCACAGCTTTCTACTAACAAAAATTAAGCGACACTCACTCATCTGAATACAGTCATTACAGTGTACTTACATATAATTTTATAATCTTAACTTTAAAGATAATAACTTCAATTGAGTGGCTCCTAATTGTGTAAAGTACATTGCACACTGCACATATAAAATGTTTTAAGGTTTACAATATTTTAAGTATGCATTGTACAATGTACTTTGTACAATTAGGAGTCACACACAATCGAAACTTTAAAGTTAAGGCTTTGTAAAATGTTTACAATTTAAACATTTAATTTTTTTGGAAATATTAAGCAAAACATATAAAAAATTGTTATGTAGAATAAATTATTGTAAATTAATTATAAAAAATTTACAAAAAAAAATATTGTGCCTATAAATAAAATCAGGTATTTAGAAATCAAAAAACATAATAGTTATATGCAAAAATGCAGTGATTTAGGAGCAACTTTATTAATTTTATTGTTTAAGACGCCACATCTTGGCAAAAACATTTCTTTTATTTAATAAAATACCCAAGAACATACAGTCGTGACTAAAAGTTTAGAATCACCTCATTATTTATATAAGAATTCCATTTTATGCTATTTATTACCAACTACAACAATTGCATTCTCGTGATTCAGTACTTAGTATACTGTCCTTTGGCCTTCAGAACAGCCGCTACTTGATTAGACTTGGAACAGGCTTAAAATTTGTAGTATTCAGGTGTTATACTGGTAGCCCAGACATGCTTTATGGCGTCTATTAACGTAAACTCTGACGTTAGATGTTCTTGACTTACCTTTTGCTTCATGATTATCCACATGTTTTCAATCGGGTTCAAGTCCGGACTTGACCCAAGCCATGGACCAAGCAATTACACTCTAGTTAGAGTCTAACAGCTACTGTCTAGTGGCAGGGCGCACCATCATCATGAAAATGGGTGAAGGAGTGTATTTCCATATACGGGGTAAGTTTTCCCTCAAAACATCCAGGTAAACTTGCACATTAATGGCCATATTCTTTGGTATAAACCAAATATGACCTGTGCCAGATGCGTAAAAGCTGCCCTATACCATGGTCTTTGGGGCCTGTTTGACTGCTGGGGTCGCATATTTTGCACTGCACATTTAGTTGATGGGTTTCCTTAGTACCCTGTATTAACACGTGCACTGAGTAAAGGTTAATTTATCAGAAAACATGACCTCGATCCATTGATTTTCCGTTCAGGCCTTGTACACCGACAAAATGTCAAGCGATCTTTGACATTCTTCTTTAATAACTTTGCTATTTTGGCTCGTTTACGTGAGGGCAGCTTAAATTCAACTAACAGACGTCTTCTTACAGTTCGGGTACTCACTCCAGCAGGTATCCGGGCAGCAATGTTGACCAAAAACATGTTTAGATAAGTAAACGCAATTCTTCGGATGAACCTATCAGTTGCTATTGACGTCACTCGAGGCCTACCAAATCGTTCCTGAGATTGGTATTTACCCAATTTGGTTGTCCTGGTCAGAGTCTTAAAAATTGATGACTGGGAAACGCTGAGAATCTGTGCAATTTTTTGTTGGGACATGTTCTGCTGGCTCAGAACATGAAACTGAGCCCGTCGTGCAGTTGGTAATTCTTTAGAACCCACATTTCACACACTAATTTGATTCAAAAAAAATTAAATTTATTGTTTTTATATATTTGATTTATTGTTTTCATATATTTTATCATCTGATAAATTATAAATACAATGATTAAGGTAAAACAAGAGAATTATAATCTAAATAATTAAGTTAATTAAAAAATAAATTCATTTTCATGAGACATACCTCAGTAATCTTGCAGCTAATCTGAACTCGGTCCAAATGAGTTTCTAACTGACACAGAAAATGAAAACAATCAACAGCCAAATATTCAATATCAGCCTACTAATCACAAAGTTATTTACTGTCTGTTATGGCTTTTGATATAAATGTAGCGTGAATAAATCATACATTACCGCCTAGAAATAGCGTATACGATATCTATTGACCTCTTATTTTTTTGAATACAGAGACACACAGCTGAGGAGTTGGAAATAATTGATAAGTAATTGCTAGTAATCCCTAGTATTCAATAAATTAATAACTTAATGTTCTTTTAATTATGTTAGGTTAGTAATATCAATATTGCAAAAGTTTTTGAGTGATTCCAAACTTTTTGTACTTTACACGACACGTACTTTACAGGAAAAGGATTACTTTTGGAGTGTTTATCAATTCATTCAAGGTACTTGACACTGTTAATCACTGTATTTTATAAGAAAATCGAGGTATATAATTAAAGAAAACAACAAAGGTATATAATTAAAATAAATTATCACTAATCAAAAGGAACATGTGCAAAATAAGAAATCATATTGTGTATGGAGTGCTCAATCTCTACAAAATACAATCTATGTTTAATAAAATATATGTAGTCAAAAAGATATAGGGAAAAGTGGGAAACGTTTTGAAAGCCCTGAGTTGTTGCAAAACTGAAGCAGTGAATACTGCTTCAGTTTTGCAACAACTCCTCCGCCACCTATTATGAATAAGCCCAATGCTAAAAGTATAACACAAATATCATAATTTTTTCTTAATGGTTTATAAACTCAAATACTTTCTCAGTATGTTTATGTTAATAAAATGATTCATTTCCTGCATGAAATTTCAGTATGCAATTATAACAATTTGAAATAAATATTAAAATAAAAAGTTTATAAGTTTGTCATCTGGTCACATGACCGGGGCAAGATGACTTATTATGCAATTGTTACCTCCAATTTTATTGAATTTCAAAAACTACCAATAACTCTAACTAAAGTAATACAAAATAAACACAAGTCACATAAAATTACTTGTAAAGAAGTTAAACTTGAAGGATACCAGAAACAGGACAACAGAAACTAAGAATTTTTTTTTTAAGCGCAAAAAGTAAATTTATGCGTATAAAAACGCGTTAATAATATTTAAAAAAACCAATTGGTGTTTTAAAATACAAGATGCAAATACAGTTTTGTTTTTCAACCAACTTTAAGATTTTTTGTTGAGTTGTTATATGAAAGCCCATCTTGCCTGATTCGCCATGTTGCCCCGCTTTCCCCTATAATAAATGTAACAGTAAAATGATTAGTTGGATTTAATGAATTTACGTGTGTAATTTCAGCAGGTCAATTTAATTACTTATTAAGCCGAGTGAATAAAAAAAGGCAATTGATTTTACTCAGTCATTGGTCAGCTTTACGTGAATAAAAACTTTATCAATTTTACTTAAACTTTTATTCACGTAAAGCTGAGAAATTACTCAGCGTTTTTGGAGCAATTTGCATAACTTTACAATTTTGCTATAATTTTTATTCACTGAACAATTACTCCAAAAAACGTTGAGTAAAAGTAATTACTTTTTTATCACCTATTTACTGCTTAATTCAATTTTAGATTACGTATTAAGTGGCCAAATTAGCAAAATTCAAAAAAAGTCTTTGTTTATAAAAACGTATTTATAAAATTCTTTGTAGCAAAATATGGGGCGAACACACTAAACTTTTACCCAGCAAACAATAGACGTCTTTTAGACCGTCTAAAATTGGTCTAATTTGTATCTATTGCTGATACGTATATTTTAGACGTATATAGAGATAGATAAGACGTCTGATTCTAGAGATACTATTTTTGCTCTGTTTTAGATGCATATTAGATGCATAAAATAGATCGTGCATAGATAATTTTTTTTTTCATCTAAATTTAGATGTCTTTTATAGATTTGTTAAAAAAAAAAGAAAAAAACTTGAACTAATTTTACGGAGCGATATATATATATATATATATATATATATATATATATATATATATATATATATATATATATATATATATATATATATATATATATATATATATATATATATATATATATGAGTGTTTTTGAATAACACAAAAGATTGTTTTATTGGTTGTGCACTTATCGTTTTTATCAAGGAACAAAGATTCATTCATGTCTTTTACAAAAAGGGCATACAAAAAGAGACGCAGTAGACAAGTCCAAAAGGAATATTAAAAAATACTAGAATTTTCATCAGTACATATAGAAAAAAAATCGAATGTTGAAACTTCTAAAAGAAATGATTTCTTATCTTGCGAAAATCTAAAAGAATATTTTGACCATCATGAATCATCATCAAGAATCATCGATTTTGTACAATGAATACTCTTATGACCAAAAGCCTAATGAGTATAAGCATAACCCAACTTTAAAGGAAGGTTTTTCTTTATGTTTTTCTAACCAAGTAATGTTGCACTAAACAAGTGGATTGACAAAGAATAGCAACAAATTTATTGTCCCAAAAAAAACTATAATCATGCGCTGAAAAACAACCTTTTGTCAACAAAAGAATGGCACAAATTTCCATTGATAAAGTTTAATATAACAGATGGCCAATATCTAACTTGTTTTGTGTTTTTTTAAAGGTAACTTAATTACTTTTTTGTAGCAAAATGTTTTATAATTAGATTCATTTTCATGTTGTGAAGAATAGAACTTTTTACATCAGATGAGATATATGTTAAAGAAAGCATTAAAAATAAGAATAACAAATCATACCGCTCTTCATTGCCAGAACCTCCGCCACCTATTATGAATAAGCCCAATGCTAAAAGTATAACACAAATATCATAATTTTTTCTTAATGGTTTATAAACTCAAATACATTCTTGTTTAATTTGATCTGAATAATATCTATCTAGCTATTAGTCTTTTTATGTATTTCTAAGGTTTTCCTTTTATTTTCACTATTTGGGTGTCCTATTATATGTAATGTTGTTAAATTGGTTACATATATTTATATCATTGACAACATTCTATTGTATTAAATAATCCTTTAATCAACTTGATATGAAAATTGAAAATTGATTGAAAGCATGCTGAAATTGTTTGAATTCAGAAGTTGAAAGAGTACAAAATTGGTTGAAAGATTAAATTAAGTAACAGTTATGGTTGAGGGATTATTTATAGTTCTAATTATAATTATTTCTTTTGAATAGAGTTATTATCAGATTCATAAATTGAAGATGTTTTTTCTTCACATTTTATTGATGAACACAATAAAACCAAGCAAAGTTCACATTGTCAAAGAGTTTCAAGTTTTAATGTGAGTAGTTTTGGTTTTTACACCACTGAATGTTAATGTGAAGATCTTTTTTCTTAATTTGTTTTTGTTTTAAAATAATTGTAAAAGATAGGTATAAAAGAATAGAAATGGATTATTTATAATATTGTGATCTGATAAATCATGTGTGTAGCATTTGGTCAACTTTACCTTTAGTAGTTAAACAAAATTCATTAATTTTGTAACCTTTTACAGGAGGAAATATCAAGAATTGCTCTTGAGCCAAGCCCAAAGAAAAATACACGAAAGTTATCACTAGGGCTGTGGAGTCTGAGTTGCGGAGTTGAGACATTTTCAGCGGAGTCAGAGTTGCTAAACAAAATCGCGACTCCGACTCCAATAGTAAAACTTCTCGGTATTGTACGTGCATGTACAAAACATTCAATTAACGTTATGTTCATACTAGACCTCAAAGAACGTTTCATAAATTTGTCAAAAAAGAAATTTCTAACTTATCCCGTAATATTTTTAAAAAAATTTGAAAAATTTTTCTAAAATAATGCTTTGGAGTTGTAATCGAAGTTGGAGTTGGAGTCGGAGTTGTGCTCAAAAAGTTTCAACAACTGGAGTCGGAGTTGGAGTTGTACTCAAAAAGTTTCAACAACTGGTGTCGGAGTCATTAATTTTTTTTTACAACTCCACACCCCTGGTTATCAGTAACGGTTTGACATAAATCTGAATATTATTTTTTGTTGTTTATTTGTCGAAATTAAATAAGAATTTCTGTAAAACTTGAATGTTTGATTTATTTTAAGCAGGTTTAACTATAACTTGAGTGGATTATTTTTTTTATTAGATTATTATTGCAAAGTAGTTTATTTAGTCAAAATTATTTTTTATTAGGTTTCCAATCTGCCCCTTTTGCCTTTGTCTGATTCTGCAGATAAAGTTTTAGATGATTTAAAAAGTAGGTTTTCCAAAATATTATGGCAACTTCTGCGATGGAGTAATAAAAAAAATTACATGTATTTTTGGAATTTTAGTTTGAGTTACTCAAGCATAATTTGAATTTTAAAATTGTTATTTCATTGAAGTTTTTATTTAAAAGAAGTTATAGAAATTAAGTTTCAGGCTACTGGGGTGAAGTTGATAGAATCAGTGGATGAAGTGGTTACACAGTGGATAATAAACTAAAAGATAAAACCGAGTATACTAATTTGGTAATCTAATTATCTTAATTTTTAATAAGTTCGTTTAAATATGATTTATTAGTTTAGAATCTAAATGAAAAGTATTTGTAAATGAACTAAAATAACTAGCTTTTGTTAGACTCAATATGTTGTAAAGAAATTTAAGTTACACTAATTTTTATTACATTTATTTCAGCTTGATAGTTTGAAAAAGATTGGTGGCGGAAAGCCAAGAGAACATGTTTTTTTGATCATGAAAAGGTAAATGATTATGTTTTTATTAATTATTAGAAATATGATTATAAGGGACCAAAAGCAATTCATTTTGACCATTATTTGTTATGGATTTACTTTTAACATGACAATTTGATAAACTCGGTAGCTTCACTGTAGGTGTTTAAGTTTGTTTGTGTGCTAAAGTAAGTGTAATGCTAAACCTTGTTTAGCATTTTATTTTCAAATTTAATGCTTATACCTTTCATAATTTTAAGCATTCATATATAAAAATATATTTTAATTTATTACATATATTAAAATAAAAATCTTTATAAATATATTTCAGTTTATTGTTAAAATATTTATCAGGTTATTTTCAAATCAGTTACAGTCCAAATTAAATCGAAAAGGAAATGGGGAAAAGATAAACTTAGAAAATCTAGTAAATATATGGAGTGTTTTACGAGGTATAGTTTTAATAGTATTTACAAAACTGATATCTGTATTAAAAAGATATTCTTCGACTTTTTTGTGTCATGCTAGAATTTTTTTATCCATAATACAAGTTCCTTTAGTTTTTTCTTAAAAAAATTGTTGTTTATTATTGTATCTGGTTGAGATACAAATCTTCTTGTATATATATATATATATATATATATATATATATATATATATATATATATATATATATATATATATATATATATATATATATATATATATATATATATATATATATATATATATATATATATATATATATATATATATATATATATATATATATATATATATATATATATATATATATATATATATATATATATATATATATATATATATATATATATATATATATATATATATATATATATATATATATATATATATATATATATATATATATATATATATATATATATATATATATATATATATATATATATATATATATATATAATATTTCATAAAAATACATTATTCAGAGTTCTACATGTCTTCTAAAGTCATTTAAATGTCATTAATGTATATATTTTAGATATCGGCGACGTGGAAGATGTTGACGGCGATGCAGAAATATAGTTTCTTATGTATATTTTTGTGAAATAAAATTAAGTAATTTTAGTTAAAATGTTTCTTTACTTATTTAATTTAATCATTTTTTATGACTAATTTAACCGCTATAACACCTTTGTATCAAACAAGTCCCTGCAAACAAAAAGATATCTAAAATGCATCTAATATGCATCTAAAAACTGGTCTAAAAGACGTCTAAATTCACGTCGTGAACGGGGCACAAATAGATGTCTATCTTATAGATGTCTTTTAGATGCATTTTATTCGACACAAATAAATGCCTTAGATGCATAAAAGCTGTGAAAAATACATTTAAAGATGTATATTAGATGTATATTAGATGTATAAAAGTATTATTATTTGCTAAAAAAAATTATCTATTATCTTTTTTAAACGCGCCCTAGACATCTATTTAAGAGACGTATTTTATACATCTAATATGCATCTGTAAGATGTATATTTCACATCTTATGCATCTACGCCAATTATTTATGTCGAATAAAATGCATCTGAAAGACGTCTATAAGATAGACGTCTATTTATGTCCCGTTCTAGACCTGAATTTAGACATCTTTTAGACCAGTTTTTAGATGCATTTTAGATATCTTTTTGTTTGCTGAGTATGAAAAACATGTAAATGATGAATGTATTTAAAATAAATATTTACTAATATCTAAATCTCATGTATAAGTATACCAACGGCGTTACTACTAATCACTTAGTATAAGTAAATTTATAAAAAACCTAAATATAGAATATTTAGGTTTACAGAATACTTTATAAAATTTTGAGCTATTCCTGAAGATACGTTTTTGTCCAAAAACACATAAATCCCAATAACTTCTTTGCGCATGCGTAAATCCTTACAATACTACAACGAAAGATGAAATGGTTAATTGTGAAGATTTCTTATTATTTCTGGCTCTTTTTTATAAAAGTTCTATAGATAAACGCAATCCGTCGACTAAACCCTGCAGCCATCTAGCCCCGGTCTCAATGATAACGTCTATCAACTGTCTTTAAATAAATATATTTTTTAGTTTATTGAGTTTGAAAAAATTTTCTTTCCTCCCTTTGTTTACTTTACTAAGTTCATATACCTTTTTCGTTAAAAGTAAAACCCAAAAAAAACTTGGAAAAAGTTAGAATTTTAATCAAAAATTCAAAATCATAAATAACTTTTGTAATTATTATTTAATGATAATTTAATAAAAGTTACATAAGATAACACGTCAACTTAAATAAGATAACACGTCAACTATAAAAAACTTTCAGTAATTACTGAAAGTTTTTTATAGCTGACGTGTTATCAACATTATTACATAATGTAAAACTATTAGGGATTAATAGTAAAAATCACACTTTAAAAGACACTGTTGTAACTTGCCCCCGTTGTAATTAGTCTCGGCCTTTCCTATTTGTGTTTATCCTATATATAAAGAGCGAAAAAATAAAAATAAAGATACAAAAATGCTTAGAAAATCGTCGAGAGTACTTCCTCAAACATCAAGTGTATTTGTTTAAACGTCAAAAAAACTTCTACTAAATAGTGGATAACTTTCAGATGTCTTACTGAGGTCTAAACTGTTTTAAACCGATTATAGTCTATTATTTTCGACCGATTTATGACGTTTTCAATTTCGATAAATTTTATTTCTCAATTGATTAAAGAGATTTTCATATTTAACATGATCAGATACACGGTTAGCACGGATCCTTATAATGCCTACCTAGCTGTCCCAAGAGCGCCACTTCTACGGAAAGTTAGCGTACACATCAAGGTATCCTGTAATGCAAATTTTGAAATCATTTAATTTTGTCCACGGAAAATAATTTAATTTAAATGTTCAAATTAAGTCAAATTTTGACTTCATAGTGCGCCAGTAAAAACACTTATAGAATTTGAACCACTCAATATAATTTGATAAAAATTAGTGCAAATGTAGCCAATAGTCACATCAAACTCTGGACAAAATGACACCCTGATTGGACGGCTGGTGTAGGATTTATTACAGTTTTAGTTTGCAGTTTAAGTTTTGTCAGTTTTTTGCTACTTATGCCTCAAAGCGTTACCGATTACTTTAAAATTCGTTAACTATTTTTAAAATAACAGTTGCATGAGTGTTCTACTATGTAATACCAACAATTTTTGTTATATTTATTTATCGGTACATATACAGTTTTCATTTTATAGACCAAAATTGTGATTTTCTACTTAAAGCGTGATTTAAATCAGGGGTGTGGAGTCGTAAAAAAAAAGTAACGACTCCGACTCCAGTTGTTGAAATTTTTTGAGCACAACTCCGACTCCAACTCCGACTCCGGCTCCAACTCCAAAGCATTATTTTTGAAAAATTCTTTGAATTCTTAAAAAAATATTGCGCAATAATTTAAAAATTTCTTTTTTGAGAAATTTAAGAAACGTTCTTTAGGGTTTAGTATGAACATAAGATTAATTGAATGTTTTGTACATGCACGTGTAATACCGGGAAATTTTACCATTGGAGTCGGAGTCGCAATTTTGTTTAGCGACTCCGACTCCACTAAAAATGTCGCAACTCCGCAACTCCGACTCCACAGCCCTGATTTAAATAGTCTTATGTTAATAGTGTCGATAGGGCCTTCAAAGTGGAGGGGGTCAACCCCTCAGTTTCTAAAAAAAAATCCATAATTTCTAAAATGATTGCCTATGTTTCTAAAACAAAAGTCCTCGCAAAAAAAAGACACAACCCCCTAGCCTTCCCGGCGTTGACGGCCATGTATGTTTCGCTTGAATATACCAACATTTCCTAAGGTATAAACTGCTGCCAAAAAAAAAGCTAGTCAAAGGACTACCAATTAGTAAAACAAAGAAAAAAGGAGATCTCCTAAAATATTTTGTATTGACCTCCTTAAATACATTTACTTTTAAAATGAAGTAAAAACTATTTAAACCCTATTTTTTACATTGTATTATCATCAAATATCTAATTGCATTTTAAGAAATGTTTTTTTGATTTTCTCCACCAAAAAATTATTAATAAGTAGCTCAATGTACTTTTTTAATAAAAATACTCTATAATGCTACTTTTAAAGATGGTGAAAATATTCATTATACGCCGTAAAATATAAATTTCAGCAGCCTAATTTCTAATGACTCAAAAAATGCTTACTGTTTAGATCAATTATGCCGCGCAACAATCTTTATTTGTACTCTGAATGATTATTATTTCGCTTATACCTCGACCAATGTTGATAAAAATCTTGATGAGAAGTTTCGACAATTTATTTACTATAGGACCCCAAGTGGGATCCTTTGTGACTGATGAAATCCTTGATGTGGTAGAAGACGACGTGAACTTTGGGTGTTACGCTTGCACCAGTTATCATTAGGTAACACTTTTTGAAATTTTCAATTTTTTCAGCGAAATCCAACTGAAGGATGTATTCAAAGAAAGCCTTGGCAACTAAATTGAAGCTTTTGAATGCTTCAATTATGCACACAATATTGGGAACCATGCTTTTCTCAGCAAGTTGCTGCAGCATATCTACATTTTTAAGAAGCTTCCTGCATTCATTTCCCTCAAACTGGCCCCCGTGATACGGTTTGTGTGGAGAGTGTGGAGGGCGGCTGGCCACTTAACAGCTTCTATCCAAGCAGTTTTAAGAATCTTGAAAAGATGGTTGACAACTCCTAAGAAGAGATGAAATTCCATCGGTGAAATGATTTCCAAAATCAGAACATTGACAGGCCCGCAGATGATTGGCTTTTGAATGACATTGCCAAACAGCTTTGCATTAGCAACAACCCCGCCAGTTTGCTGAAAAGACTCAAGGCTTGAATTAATTGAGCCCAGTGTTCGCAAGTTTCCAGATTTGGCAAGACAATTGGATTTGACATCACACCAGGTGCAAGGGTGCGTACTTGAATGAGTTTGAAGACCACAAATTATTTTTTCTACTTTCATATCACAAGCCAAAATTAGTTTAACTCCATTTGCATTAATCAGTGACCAGATTTGTTCAATATTGGAGTGCGTTTCTGGCAAATCTTCTGAAACCCCAACAATAATTTGTCTCTTGACTCCAGTGTCTTTACCAGTCCTTTGAGTGAGAGGTTGTTGTTGGTGCGGTGAGCTGGTTTCATTCCTTAACGCAGTATCAACAATGCTTAGGAAAAACTTGAGAAAACCTTTGCCACCATCAATTCTGAGCTTAACATAATAGCCACCAGAAATTTTGCGGGACTGAATAACATGATTCACAAGACTTGATAAATCATTGCAGTAAGCAACAACATGAACTGTACAAGAATCTGTTTTTTCGTCTGTGAGTTTCAATTCGCTGCAAGTGAAGAAATCGCTCAATTGTTGACCTAGTCTTAGAAAATTTATTCTGAAATTTCGCTCTACCATCTTGCTGCTTGATGTTTTGTTAACAGTTCTAACAGGTTTTTTCAATCCATTGTTTGAGAGGCCCGTATTTAATTGCACATTTACAAGGGCTACAGTGGTCAATTTCGGAGCACTTGATGGTGTCTGCGCACTACTTTGACCTAAAACCAAAACATACATATTTTAGTTACAATAAACTTTGTTTAGTAAGTTTGTGTAAAACTTCAAATTATTCGTTTTTAAAGAAATTAGAAACTTGTCAAAAATATACTTCTTGAAATCTATCTTGTGTTATTTCTTAATAGTCAAGACTTTATTTCAATATATATGTTAAAATTATTTTAGTATAAATATTTACCAGGGGTAACTGTAAGTGGAGGCCCGCCGGATGCTTTAGCCAGTAGAATAGTTCCTTCTGGAGATAAATCTTTATTGGAAATAACTCAAGATGCGATTTGTTCGGATGATTTGGTATCTTTTGTTGCTAAAGATTGAATGTTTTCCCTTAACATTATTTGAGAACATTGGTGGGACAAACCTTTTCCTAAAGGTCTGAGCCATTTGCTGCAATGCACCTTTGGTTTTCTCTCAATAGTGGTTTTCTCTATAAGAGGATGTTTTTCTTGCAGCTTTGAACAACTAATTTGGCATATTAGGCAACAACACATTGTGCCTCTTGTTT